GATATCACTTATGATCCTAAAAAAAATGAAGGGTTAATGTTCCCTTATTATACAACAGGTGCAGGATGTTCAGAGGTTGAGATTGATACATTAACGGGTGACCATACAATCTTAAGGACAGATATATGTATGGATATTGGTAGAAGTTTAAATTATGCATTAGATGTTGGACAAATTGAAGGAGGTTTTATGCAAGGTGTTGGATGGCATACTCTTGAAGAAAGTTCACATTTTCCAAATGGTCAATTATTTATTAAAGGACCTAAAGAATATAAGATACCTGGGGCTAGGTTTTTTATTTCTCTTTTGATTGCTTTATTTTATTTTATTTAATGTAGATTTTAATTTTTATCTGTTTTAGGGATATACCTCAAGATTTTAGGATATATACATATGAAGGTGCAAAAGTATCTAATTTAAATTCAATTCATGGCAGTAAAGGAATTGGTGAACCACCATTGCTTTTAGGAAGTACAGTATTTCTCGCTATTAGGGATGCTATTAAAGCTGCAAGGTATTTCAGTTTTTTTAAGTATCTTTTAGTGATTTATCCAATTATTTATTTAATTATTTCTTTATTTTAAAAAAGAAAATGTAATAATAACAACACACCGGTAGTTTTAAGGTCACCCGCAACACCCGAAAGAATTCGAATTGCTTGTGATGATGAAATTGTGAGGAATTGTAAGGTTGAGAAAAAAGACGGAGAACTTCCATGGGTTGTTGGAGATTAGATTCAATAGCCATCATTGTATTTAATTTGGCTTTTTTTTTATTCCGAAACTATTAAAATATGTTCCAATTGGAAGATTTTATAACTATGATGCTATTTTTTTTTTACCCATTGATGTCTTATTACGTCATCAGGAATTTTTTGACACGGGTTACACATAATTTCGGATGCATGTGATTGGTTAGAAGTTTTCGAATTTGAAAAGTGAAGTTTTTTTTACAAATTTATCCATTTACTGTGTTAAAACCATGCTTGCATTGGATCAATACTATTAACAAGAAATTAAGAAAATAATAAATTATTACAATTAATTACAAATTAATTACAATTAAGT